TAATCGTTTTTGGATAATCTTCAGTAGAATCTTGCTTGCATGTGAAATCAATGACACTGTTCTGTAGTTTCCACACTCAGTTGGGTCACCTTTCTTTGGAGTGGGAACCACTGCAATCCCAGAGGTAGATGGTTCGAATCCACCAGATGCTGTGCTGGAGAAGGAGGGGCAATCTCCTCTTGTATCAGTCAGATCTGATTTGATGGTATACATACCAAAAAAAAATAGTAGGATTAAAAAAAAATGGACTCATAATACGGAAATTTCTTGGCATATAGGGAATTCTCACGGTATGGTCTGAGGGGAGTTGTGCTACTAATTCTAAGATGCTATCTCTCTGGCGTTCGAATCCACCAGTGGCTTATTGGGAAAAATATGAATAATTTCCTACCATGTGACTTACTGTCTTTGAAAACATGGTGGAGGATCAGCTACGAGTAGGTGTTAACTCTGTGGCAATGAGTTGAATTTTCCCGTTATATACCGAACCACTACAGAGATAGCAAGGGATAACATGACAACAAAAATATGCCTGAAATTATTAAACACACACACTTTTAGGTCAAAATAAATACAGACTTGTTTGTAGTAAAAAGTTTATGCATTTTTGATAATATTAAATGTTATATGTAAGTTTTCAAAAAAAGCTTCCATTCTAGTCTATTACTAGAACAAACCTATTCAGATTGCCGATTTAGGTATAAGATTTACTAAGAGTTTACAAAGAAAAGAAGATATAGTCCTAGGCTCACAAGAAGATGATAATTTATCAAGAAACACTGATAATATAAACAAATATTTATCTCACAATGTGACACTAGAAATCTAACAAAACACTGAAATAGGAAAATATCCTGAAAAGGACCTTTCAGGAGCAAAAGTGTTCCTTTAAAGACTGAAGTTTGCATGACACAAGTTTTAGAATTTTAAATCACCTTATAAGCTGGGCAGTGAGAAAAGAATACTCAAGAAGAATTTATGCCTTTAAATTATGGTGTTTGTGAAGAATATAGCAAATATCATAGGTCACCAAAATAACAAAATAACAAGTTACACATGGAAGAAGTGTAGCCAGAATGGTTCTTAGAAGTGAGGATGGTAAGCCTTCCTCTCCCACACTTTGGGGATGTTTTCAGGAGGAGTCAATCTCTAGAGAAGGACATCATCCTTGATCATCATCAGTGAGAAAGAGGAAGCTTTTCAATTAGATGGATTAGCACAGTGTCTGTAACAACGTGCTCAAACTACTTCAGAATACAAGAAAAAGAAGGGACATTTCTAGATTTTATTCAATGAAGCAAGAATAACTACGATACCAAGACCAGGTAAAGACAACACCAATAAAGAAAATTACAGACCAATTTCTCTCATGAACTTAGATGAAAATATTCTTAACAAAATCCTAGCCAATAGAACCCAACATTATCTTAAAAGAATAATTAATTATGAACAATTGGGATTCAGTGCAAGGATGGTTTAACATAAGAGAAGCAAACAATGTAATCCACTCTATCAGTAAAACAATGGACAAGAACTACATAATCATCTCAATTGACACAGATATGGTTTGTTGTTTTTTTAACAATATCCAATACCAGATCAAAGTGCTGAAAGGAATAGAAATAGAGGGGAATTTCCTCAATATAATTAAGAGTTGTTTTTGTTGTTGTTGTTGTTAAGTGCAGTCAAGTCGAGCATGACTCATAGTGACCTTATGAACAAAATACCTGAACCTAATTCTATAACTATTGTAATTTCTCTAAGTTTATAGAGTTTCCAGAGGCATGTGGTTTAGCAAGTGGATGCCACTCTTGCTTCCAAGCCTGTCTTAATCTGGGAGCACCACCAAACACTGTTAACAAGAGTATATACTCAATATCAACAGCCAACATCACCTGCAATGGAGAGAGATTAAAGACATTCCCCTTGTAAACAAGGACTAGGCAAGGACACCTACTGTCACCACTCCTATTCAATATTATACTGAAAGTCCTACCTAAAGGAGGAAGGTAAAAAAATGAAATAAGAGGCATCCAAATTGGCAAAGAGAAGGCAAAACTACCTCTACACTCAGATGATATATAGCAAATATCTAAGACTCAGTAAGAAACTGTTAGTAATAGACCAAGTCAGCAGAGTTGTAGGATAAAAGATTAACAAAAATCAGTGAAATTTCTCTACAGCAGCAAAGAAAACACTGAAAAGAAAAAAAAAAAACCATCAATTACAA